ATATAATAGATAATTTATTAAAATTGAAACCTTTTGCAACCAAAAAACCTAAAACATTTTATCATCATCGTCTTTTCAAAAAATAAATTACATCAAAAATTTTTTACCATTATCAATGAAATTTTCCCAATCAGTAGATGAACGACGATGAATGACCGGTTTTGGTGGTGCAACATTTCGATAACTTGGATTTTCCTCCAATATATCACCATCATAATCATATGACGGTGTAACACAACCAGACATCGATCTACGAGCCTATTTTAAATATTATTAAAAACTAAAAACGCAAAACAGTATTTTTTTTTGAATTAAAATTTCCACAAAAAAAATTAATTTATTTCCAAACGTAAAAAAAAATATAATATATTTTACAAAAAATTAAAATGAAAATAAATATACTTGAGATGGTAACTGCGTTAACATAGTTTCATAAAAATCAAACCATGACATGGATACTCGACGACGTCTCGGTGCTGTAATTATTTTAATACTGATGAAATTATTTCATATGCTTTCTTGGTTCATTTAAACATTAAAAAGAATTTGAGAGAAAGAAAAAACGCACACATTTACTTATTTTAATTGAATGAAAAATAAATGGAATTCCACATTAATTATAATTCAATTTTTATTTTTACTATAAAATTTTAATCACATCATTATTCCACTTTAAAAGAGACTATTAATTCATATATTAAAGAGAGTATTAAATGAGCTTATTAAGTGATTACGTAAATATTTTTTTAATTCTTTTGAAAAGAATACATTTATTGATTAATTAATGAAGCTTTTAATCAATGACTTGTTTTAATTAATATCAACTTTTAGCATAATAAAACATTTTAATTGCTCCTCTGCATCAGATCTTCTAAAATCGGTTTGATTGATAAATTTATGATGACATACTTTGTGGTACATTATGATTGGGTATGCTGACATGAATCTTTTGCTTTTTTGTTGCAATTGGTGATGATTCATCATTAGCATCAACGGAACCTTCGACGTAATTCTCGATAGCACACCACGATGTTGGTGTGGTTGGTCGTGGTCGTTGCAATTTCGATACCGAATATTTACGTCGCAATGCTTCATGATCAAGATCACGCTTTTTTTGCTGTTCCTGCAAAAGAAAGCATACTCATTTCTGTCAATAAAAGGCTCATTAGAGTTTATTCTGAATACTGATTAGGTACCAGTAACTAGAATTGTTATTTTAATAAACTTCAATTGAATGATTGAAATTCCAAATGATTACCGACTTTTGCCATAAAGTTTCAAATATTTTATGCATTAAAAGTTAGCCTATTATAATTGATATTGTTAAATTTAGCATTTTTAATTTAAAACTATAGTTCGAAAAGATATTATTGAGATATTAGTTAAATGAAAATTTCCTAAAGATTTTTTTATTGATCGTAACAATTATTTGTTCTTTTATTTAAAAAAAAAAAAAATTAAAATGTCTCAAACCTTTTTATCAGTTATATTCAATGATTGTTTTCTTTCAAAGCTACTAATTTCAACATCACTCTCAGAACCTTCATCATTCTGATGTAGCAGACTGGCATGAAGTTCTTGTTCCTCGTCAACATGACCTGGACCAGGTACCATCATAGGATATTTTTTGGTACCACTCACTATTTCTTGTAATGATTGTTT